TTTTTTTGTTGTTGTTGTTTGAAATTGTTTTGAAAAGTTTGCCTAGGATTTTCTGAACTATACTTATGGAAAGGTTCCCTGAAGAAGAGAATTGGAGAGATTAAACACAGAAAGAAGAACAGCAGCACAGAGAATGAATGTGTCTGTTCTTGCAGTACAGCTTGGGGCTTGTTGGAGCTGTCTGTCTGTCTGTGTCTGTAGCTCTTTATTCTCAGACTGGAGTGCTTCCGCCCTCAGGTTCTAGAGTAGTGTTTTAGGTATGGACAAAGATAAATGTAGTGTTTTATTGGGTACCAGGGTTTACTTGGGGAAAACTTATTTTGTGTAAATGAAATGGTTTTATTATGGGGTGGAATTGAAAATTCACATGAAAATACGTTCCATCTCTTTTTAAAAAAAATTATTTTATGTGTATGAACATTTTGCCTGCATATATGTAAGTCCACCTGTGCCATGCAAAACCCGAAGAGGCCAGAAGAGGGCATCGAGTCTCCTGGAACTGGAGTTACCAACAGTTCTTAGCCACCATGTGGGTGCTGGGAATTGAACCTGGGCCCTCTGGGAGAGCAGCCAGCGCTCTTAACTGCTGAGCCGTCTCTCCAGTCCCCTCTTTGCATTTCTTTACTTTAGGTGGAGTTACTGCCTTGGCTCACTACTCAGCCCTGAGGCGTGAGCCTTTGGGAAGAGTGGGAAGTTTTTCAAGAGGCTTTGGCAAGAATGTCCTACTTCCACCTGGAATAACACTAGTGTGGCTAACACCTTCACAACAAATATAGAAATGACTTTAGTGTTTATTTTCAGGTACATATTTTAAATTTTGCATGACGCTTATTTTCCTTTCCCTCTCTCCAAAGTCTGTAAGTCCAGAAGATGCTGAAAAGAAACGCACTAATTATCAAGCTTATCGAAGCTACTTAAATCGAGAAGGTCCCAAAGCTCTGGGCTCCAAAGAAATACCAAAGGTAAGAACAGTGAGAGCACGTGCTGCTCTGTCGGGGCCTCTGTCTTGGGGGCTCAGCAATGTATGTACTATGCTCATGGCAGCAGAGAATTAAAAATAGAAAAGTCCAAGTCACCATCTCTATGAATTAGAAGCTTTATTCACATTGTGAATCACTGGTGGACACTTAGAAAAATTTTCTTTTAAAAAGTAGCTCTAGAAGGGCTGGGCTTTGAGAAGATTGGTAATAAGTCTATTGTCCGTGGCTTTCTTGCACTTAGAGCTTAAAGAAAGAGATGTTCAACTCATTATTTAATGCCATGAGAGAAGAGTCCAAGATGCTCTTAGAGTATGTAGGTATTCTAGTTGGTTTCTCCATTGCTGTGACAAAATACTCTGATCAGTACCAACTTGAGGAGGAAAGGGTTTATTCAGCTTACATCTCCCTGGTCACAGTTCATCAGTGACGGAGCCCAAGGTAGGAACTCAGGGCAGGAACCTGGAGGCCGTGGAGGAATGCTGCTTCCTGGCTTGTTCCCCTAGCCCGTGCTCAACCTGCTTTCTTATACAACATAGGCCCACCTGCCCAGGGGTGGCACCACCTACAGTGGGCTTGTCCCTCCCATATCAATCAACAATCAAGAAGATGCTCCATAGACATGGCCATGGGCCAGTCCAATGGAGGCAATTCCCCAGTTGAGGCTCCTTCTACCCAGGTGGGTCAAGTTGACAACTAAAGCTATCTTAGCACAGTAGGTAATGTAGAAGAAGTGACATTGAAATGGGGACTTGAAGAATGAAGGGGCTTCTTTAGGTGGAGGGGTTGTGATAACATGATGATATGATCACTTATCAGAATGTGTGATGTCATCAAGAGGAGAAGGAAGGCCCTGAAAAGAGATGTCATTGAAACAAAATAACCAAGGACCAAGAATGGCTGAAGAAGTCATCTGACCATGTCTTGTAGGGCTTAATGTTTAATTATTGATTGTGTGTGTGTGTGTGTGTGTGTGTGTGTGTGTGTGTGTGTATTTCATACAGAACATCCCAGACAATCTTATTCATCTTTATACCTGCATCCCAAATGGCACCCTCCCATAGCCTCCCTCTAGGAAAAAGAGTTTTAAGTGAGGAAGTAACATGACCAGATTTGAGCACCTGAAGTATTGCTCTGGTTGCTGAGCATAGACTGGTGGCTGGGGAGGTGTAGGACCATCAGTTAGGAGGAATGGTAAGAAATGCTTTAAAGTGAACAAAACAGGAAAAATCTACAGGACTTTTTATAGTTGGAGGTGAGAAATGAGGAAGAATGGGGCCCAGGATGGTCTGATGGGGCAATTGAGGCAGAGCCATTTTGGAAAGATGATGAGTTTATTGTTGACTGTAGTGTGACTTGGATGTCTGTGAGGCATCCATGTGAAGATGCTGAGTAGACAAATGGCTGTGTGCAAATGTCGCTCAGAAGGCAAGACTGCACATAACTGTGGGCATTGTTGGCATGCAGTTGATAGGTAGAGGAATTGCTGTCACCTGACAAACTCAGACAGAATGAGAAGAGGGCCTTATCTCCAGTGTCTTTGAAATAGAGGGTGCAAAGCAAAAGAGGACTGAGAAGTAGCAGTCACAGACGGGAGAAGGGGCTGATGAGAGGATTAGGAAAGTGCAGGTAAGAGAGCGTATTGGGTGATTGAGTGGCTAGTTCTGTCGTGTGAAGGTTCTAAGAAAGAAAAGACTAAAACTTGTCCATTGTATCTAATAAACATGAGTAATGGTCCTTAATGACCCTAGCAAGAGCAGGCATAGCTGATGCAATGGCTTCAAGAGAGCTTGGTGACAAGTGGAGATAGTAGATGTGGATGATATTTAAGATGAGCTTGGTTGTCAAGTGGAGAAGACAGTGCTTCTAACTGGAAACAGAAGGAGAGAGTTAAAGGGAAAATGTGAATATTTTTAAGGTAGGTACTTATAAAATACTTGTTCAGCATACTTTAAAAATTATGCTTTTTGCTGATGGCATAGATCCCACCTGAAACAGAGAGAGTGAAGATAGACTAGGAAGAGAAGGATAACCAAATGTGGTCTGAGATTTTGGAGAAAGGAAGAGGGCAGAGGACACACAGTCAGTGCATATAAATTCAATTTTCACTTTGTGTGGTATACATGACCACATAGGGAAATTAGTTAATTCCTCTAGTGAAGACAGGGTAATGATGGTATAGCTGGTAGTGGGGAGGGAAAGAGCTACAGAAAGAGGTCAGTCTTACCTCCTGTATATGGTATAACACTGAAAGACCAACCTCCTGCTTGAGAGAACTGTAGGCTAAGTGGTGTCCTTAGGGGACTGTTTCTGTGTTGGCAAGACTGTGAGGGAATGTTGGCAAGGAGGTTGAGGCTGTTGGGTAGTTCACTGCTACTGGAGTCAGAGCTGTTCTAGAGTCCTAGAATGGATGAACTGGCCTAGTGGGGCTGAGGCTGGATGCGATAAAGGATGTTCTGAGCCACAGTGAGCAATTACCCAGAAGACAGTGGGGGATGGGACTTCTTGATGTGGAGCTTTGTAGAGTATATTGAGTATGTTGAAGGATTTAGTAGTTCATTTTAGTTCTAGAAATGGAGGGCTTGAAGAGTCTTGAGAGATGTTGTTAGCTATTTCTTTTTTTTTTTTTTTTTGTCTTTTTTAGACAGGGTCTCCCTGTAGCCCCAACTGTCCTGGAACTCACTATGTAGACCAGGCTGGCCTCGAACTCACAAAGATCTGCCTGCCTCTGCCCCCTAAGTGCTGGGATTAAAGGTGTGTGCCATCATATCTGGCATTAGCTATTTCTTTACAAGTGGATTATAACCATTTTTTTTTTTTTTCTTGTCCCAAGAAAGGTTCTTGGGAAATGATTGACTTTGTGTTGGGGCATTCTTTGAATTTTGTTTAGCATCTTTTCAAGACTGTTTTTAGTCTTTGCTGGTCTCAGTTCTATTCCAAGAGTAATAAGGAACATGGCACATCATGTATAATGTTCATTTTGCTTGCTTGTATAATTTGTGTTAAAATATAAAGCACAATAGAGAATAGTCTGGGTGGGTGATTCTTAATAACCTTTGTTAACAGAATGTTTCTTGTTCATTTTATATTCATTAAATGTTAGCTATTTAAGAATTCATCACGATTTAGTTTGAGGTTCTGTGTATTTCCAGCCAGGTTTTCATGCTGAGGTTATTTATGACATCTAGTGAGAAAAGTCAGCTTGTTGCAGTTTGGCTGCCAAGCATTTCTTTGGAAATCTACCGTGTAATTTCTTCTCTACTTGAACATTTTGGTTTTATAGGGAGCTGAAAATTGCTTGGAAGGTCTGACATTTGTGATCACAGGAGTGCTGGAGTCCATTGAACGGGAAGAAGCCAAGTCTCTAATTGAGCGTTATGGGGGAAAAGTAACAGGAAATGTGAGCAAGAAAACAAACTACCTCGTCATGGGCCGGGACAGCGGACAGTCCAAGAGTGACAAGGTGGGTCCTGCTAGCTGCTCTCATTGGTGTCCCCCTGCCCGTGGCATGCCCAGTGTGACTGTAATAGCATCCTTTCTTGCAGTTCAGTGAAGGAAGAAATTGAGGAGCAATTGAAATTTTTGTCCTCTTTCCACATACCACATGAGTTCTGTTGGCTTGGATCCTAGGATTTTGGTTTTCAAATTGGAAGCATAGTTCCTGTTTACTTGAATTGCTTTGTGTCTTCTAGTTAAAATCTTTTTATTTTAACCTAAAAACAAATGCAATTTTCTTATTCTAGTCCCAGGTTTTCTGATATATGCCACTGTAAACCCATCTTAAGTTTTTTATTGGAAGTGGACAGAGGAAGAAGCAGAGCTCTGTCAGGTAGGAGTATGCTTAGCTCCAAGTATCAGGATACTGACTGACTGATTTAAGCAAATGGTGGCCTGTTTTCCTTGCTTACAGGAATCCCAGAGGCAGGCAGTTGCTAGGATGGTTTCACTAGCTCAGTAACTTAGTCCAGTAGCCATAGGCACCACTATTGTCATCCATGTATTAGTTGGTCCTCAAGTATGTTGCCTTGTGGTTTCAAGGCCTGCGTTCCAGACTGGAAAGAGACCACTGGCCAGGTGTTGTAGCTGGCCTGGCCTGACAAGCATTGTCCCAGAAATACTCTGGGATTCCACCTCTCATTGGCCAGAGCCATAGTAAGCCTTTTACTTGGAGGTGGACAGTGCAGTCCTGCTAGCAGGGAGGAAGGAGGTGGGAAGTGCCTGCCATATGAGTCAAACATAGGAGGGGGTGTGAATAGCTAGACTTAGAGTTTCCTGGCTTTGCTTCTTCCTAGGGGAGGAAAGGCAAAGAATGACGGAAGTTGTAATGCCAAACTTGAGCTGCCCACTCACCACTCTTAGGGAGTGTATGTATCTTTGGGTTTTCTGTTTGTTTGTTCGTTTCTTTGGTGGTGCTGGGTATTGGACCCAGTCCTTGAGGCAGATGCTCCATTACATTATTAAGCTACTTGATTTCTCTTTTCCTTTTTTTGAGACAGGGTCTTCCTGTAGCCACAGCTGATCTGGAACTTGCTACATAGATCAAGCTGGCCTTGATCTCCCAGAGATCCACCTACCTTTGCCTCCTGAGTGCTGAGATGAAAGTATACATTAAAATACTCAGCAACTCTTGATTTCTTTTTTTTTTTAATTTTTATTATTTTTATTTTATGTGTATGGGTGTATTGCCTACATGTAGGTAAGTGCACCCGTGTCATGCAATGCCTATGGAGGTCAGAAGAGGCTGTCGGATCCCCTGGGACTGGAGTTAATGGACAGTTCTTAGCTGCCATGTGGGTGCTGGGATTCGAACCCAGGTCTTCTGCAAGATCAACCAGTGTTCTTAACCGCTGAGCCATCTCTCCAGCCCCAACTCTTGATTTCTTAAGATAGGATCATGCTAAGATAGGTCTTGAAATCTTGATCCCCGCCTCTGCCATCTGACTATTGGGATTGCAGCATATGGCTATGCCTAGCCTGCTCCTCCCTCCCTCTCATCTATCTTTTTTGACAAAATCTTGCTTTATAGCCCAGGCTGGCCTCACACTCTGGATCCTTCTGCTTCCTGATCATTTATTCGTGTGTATGTGTGTGTTGTGTGCATGTGTGTGTATGTGTGTGTTAAATACGCATACATTTGTATGAGCAGATGCACATGGCACGTGTGTGGAAGCTAGAGGTGGACGTCAGGTATTCTGTTGTCACCGTCTGCCTTATAGCCCTGAGATAAGGTCTCACTGATTGGGACAGGAATCTGCCTGTCTCTATCCACCACAAAGCTGGAATTACAGGCACATGTGTAGCTACATCTAGTTTTTATGTAGGTGCTGGAAATTTTTACTCAGTTCATCATGATTGCACATCTAGCACTCTTAGGAACTGGAAACTTTTTAGTGAACTTTAAAAAAATTTTCAGTGTTAGCTGGGCGTGGTGGCGCTTGCCTTTAATCCCAGCACTTGGGAGGCAGAGGCAGGCGGAGCTCTGTGAGTTCAAGGCCAGCCTTGTCTCCATTAGTGAATCCAGGCCAGCTGCAGCCGAAGGGAGACCTTGTCTCAAAAAGACAAAAAGGAAAAAAAATTCTAGTGTTATCCAGTTTACAAGTATGGTTCTCTATCTACCAATAGGCCCTAGAATATTTTTTTCTCTTCAGAAAGAAGTAGTTAGAATGTAGTGTTAATGGTTTGTATTTTTAATCAACAGGCAGCAGCTTTGGGAACAAAAATAGTTGATGAAGATGGCCTATTGAATCTGATTCGAACTATGCCAGGCAAGAAATCAAAGTATGAAATAGCAGTTGAAGCTGAGGTTTGTATAAAATAAGGTGATTTATTGAAGTTGGTGTATAGAAAAACTGTTTCATGGAGATGTGCCTTGGATAGACACAGTCCTGTTGGCTAAAGGATCAAGCACCCTCTGCCACAAATTAATTTGCTTATTTCTTGTTGACTTGGAAGACAGTGTCTCAGGATGTCTTCCGTCTTTCCCTACCTTTGTGGGAGGGAGGGAAAGAGGGAAATGAGCATTGTGTTCTTACTATACTTATACTCCATGTTTTGTAATGTCTGTATTGCAGTTGTACTGCCTGAGTTTTTTTCTTAAACAGGAGTCTGTCAGCACGGTAATTTCATCTTTAGTGAGGGCTGTGTTAAGGACTTTCTAAATTATGACAGAAACCAACCTGTATTGACTTTAGACAAAAGGAAGAAAAGAAACGTTGGTATACAAGCTGAGGACAGGGTGGGACAGTCTAGGAAATGCTGGATCCAGAGACGGCAGTGCTTCTGAGCCCTTTTATTTTCAGTGTCTGCTTTTCCTAATGCTGCCGCATTCATTCCACTGCATACCTGCCTTTCCACGTGCAGGACCCAGGAATGCCTGCATGCCAAGATCAATGTCTCCGGCACTGTTAACAAAATGACAAGATGGTCTACTGGTAGAAAAGTCTTAGGGAATGATTTGGATTATGTAACCGTGGTAAAGTTGCAAAAAAATAGGAAAAAAATGTTGATACCATATTGTTAACTGCGGTGTACATATTAGCCGGACTTCACATTGCTTCCTGTTGTTCCTTTTCTGTTCCAGGATCCTGTACTACCTTGCTTTGTCTGCCTGTTTATTCCAACCTAGGATAGCTCTTCTGTCTTTCCTTATTTTCTTCTGGTCAGTTGTTTTGTAGATTGTCTATCATGGGATTGTGTGATTTTTTTTTTTTTTTTTTTTTTGTGATTAGATTGAATTTTATAGTTTTGGCACAGGGGGTGTATTATGTCCCTCACATGAGTATCCCATGTCCATGATGTTTTATGTCTTATTGGATTACTTGGCTAAGATAGTGTCTGCTGGGCTTCTCCATGAGAGACACAACCATTTCTTCTTTATAACTGGTAATTTTCTTGGGTAGTTACCTTGGGTCTCCTTAAACATTCTCTAAGCATTTGTTCATGAATTCCAGCATTCACTGAAAAGCAGTTAACTTTTAGAAATTGAGAGAGATATTGTTTTTTACCCTTTTAAAGTCATATCAGTAGCTTTTAGTATTTCACAAGGGTGGGTATGCAGTGATTACCACAATCTAGCTTAGTTTCAGAATTATACTTATTGTGTGCATGTGTGTGGAAGGGGTGGGGGAAGAAAGAGGTCCAGGTACATACATACGGAGGTCAGAGGACATTTTGAAGGAGTCTGTTCTCTCCTTCTACCATGTGGGCCATGGGGATCAAACTCAGGTCGCCAGGCTTGGCAGCCAGCACTTTTACCTGCTGACATCTTGCCAGCCCAATCACTGCTCTCTAATTCCAAACACTGTTATTACCGCTAAAAGAAATCTCACAGTCATTTGTTGTACTCACTGCCTGGCAGCCGCTAAGCTGCCCTCTGCGTCTATGGATCTACCTATTTAGAATCATAAGACACTATAGCTTTTTGTTTCTGGCTTTTTTCACTGTAATGGCTTCAAGGTTTTGTAACATGTCATTACATCTTGTAGTGGCATGTATTATGTATTCCTTTTTATGATTGACTGATGTTCCCATTGTGTGGATATAGATCACATTTCGCTTATCCATTCATCAGTTGATGAACATTTGGGATCTTTTTATCTTTTGACTGTGATATAGATCTGCACGAGGTAATATAATGCCGTTATAAATTTTAACAAAGAAGTTTTTCCCACATTAGCTTTACCTAGTCAGGATAGTTCAAAACAAAAATCTTTTCCTCCATTATCCTGTGTTTTTCAAACTGAAACTGGAGTACTTATTTCTTTAAAAATTGCCACTATAGTCTTAGCTTTCTGTGTATGTTGTTAATTTTTATAATGTTTAGAAATTGGTGATTCCCACACACTCCGGTGATCATTGTGATAAGAGCCACCCAGCTGGAGGAGCTCACCTGGATGTCATTTCACCCTCCAGCGTACCTTTAGCAGCTAGGTATTCTCTATGTCTCAACACGTTTTTCTCTCACTTTTCTAATTTTTAGATGAAGAAAGAAAAATCCAAATTGGAGCGAACACCCAAAAAAAATGACCAAGGAAAAAGAAAAATTAGTTCAACCAAGAAAGAATCAGAATCCAAAAAGAGCAAGCTGATGCCCCGAAGAGACAGCCCTGCAAAGGCAGCCAAAAAGGAAACAAAAGAAGCCGACATGTTTCGTAGGGGTCTGGACTTCAAGGAGCAGGTGGCCACTGAGACAAATGGGGACAGCAGGGCTGGGGGTTCAGCTGAAGGTGGCAGTGAGAACAGAGTGGAAAGTTTGCTCTGGGTGGATAAGTACAAGCCCACCTCACTCAAGAACATCATTGGGCAGCAAGGCGACCAGAGCTGTGCCAACAAACTGCTACGCTGGCTCCAAAACTGGCACAGCAGTTCTCCTGAAGAGAAAAAACAGGGTGATTTTACAACTTCAGTCATTTCTGTGTGTCTGTCAACATGTAATTGCTCAGTTGTACATAGAGGCAAAAAGCTAATGGTTGGTTCATTCAGCTGCCTGCAAGTGTTTATTGAGAGCTTGCTTAGAGCCCAGGTGCTGTACGAGGCCCTGGTGGTGCTGCTCTGAACAAAGCGGGCCCCTTCAGGAGCTCCTAGACAGTAGGAGACTGAACCAGCCATTAAATTCCTTGTGCTGAGTACTGTTGTAGGGGTAAGTATAGGGTGTTGGGGGGCTGCAGGTGTGTGGTTAGGGACGACAATATGCACACTCCCTCCTGGAAGAGACTTGGAATCTAAGTAGCAGTTAGCTAGGTCAAGGGAGGTATGAATGGTGTTGGGTGAAAAGGACAAATTTAAAGTTCTTTAGGCCTCTGAGAGTGACACCCCTTAGAGTGCCTGGGGCCCTAGAGGGGAAGGTGTGAATAAATAGCAGGGGCATGCGTTGGTGCAGGTGGCCTAAAAGCCCTGTTGCATGTGCAGTTAGCTTTTAGGGGTCCAGTTGGCCAGCACTTCTGTCCTTCCTGTCCTCTCTGTGGGCAGTTTATGTACTGTTCTTGGATTTCTGTTAGATGATTACACATTAATGCTCTGGAACTTCTTTTCTTCCCTCCCAGCAAAGTTTGGTAAATTTGCTAGCAAAGATGATGGCTCTAGTTTTAAGGCAGCATTGCTGTCAGGCCCTCCAGGTGTTGGCAAAACCACCACAGCTTCTCTGGTGTGTCAGGTGGGTACCCTGTGGAAGTGTAGTTGGAAAGTAAAAACCTTCATTCTCATTCTCATTCTCATTCTCATTCTCATTCTCATTCTCTCTCTCTCTCTCCCTCCCTCTCTCCCTCCCTCTCCCTCTCCCTCTCCCTCTCGTCTAGTGTAGTTGGAAAGTAAAACATTCTCTCTCTCGCTCTCTATGTGTATGTGCACACGCGCACGTGTGTGAACTTGTGTATATTTTTCTAAGTCACACTTTAGAATTTACTTTGGCTCTGGTTATGTTTGTCACTTCATCTTTTTTAAAATATATTTTATTTATTATTTTTATTTTATTTTTCTTCATTGTTATTTTTATTTTTTTGAGACAGGGTCTCCCTGTAGCCCCAGCTGTCCTTGAACTCACAGAGATCCGCCTGCCTTTGCCTCCCGAGTGCTGGGATTAAAGGCGTGCGCCACCATGCCCAGCTGTTATTTTTATTTTATGTGTATGAGTGTATTGCTGCAAGTATGTGAGTGCACCTGTGATGTGCCAGTGCCGCAGAGGTCAGAAGAGGGCTTCAGATTCCCCTGGAACTGGAGTTAAGGACGGTTTGTAGCCACCATGTGGGTGCTGGGAATCGAACCCAGTTCCTCTGCAAGAGCAGTCAGTGCTCTTAACCACTGAACCATCTCTCCAGCCCTTTTAAAAAAAATGCCGGTATTTTGTGTTTTGTTATTATAATATACCAGGTGCACTCCCCCCACCCCCTCCCCCATGGAGGATGCATTCCAAGGCCACAGTGGATGTCTGCAGTCACAGGTAGTGCAGAGCCCTGTACTATGCTTTCCCTCTCTGCCCTGCAGCATTGCCACTTCATAGCAGGATACTTTGCATCCTTCTGTGACTGTCCTGGTGCCTTTGCTCTTGTTTTTGGGAGGACCCCAATCAAATAAAAGAAGGGTTATTTGAACACAATCACTGTGATACTGTGGTTATCAGGTGTGAGCTATCAGACATGGCTTACCAGCTGAGGTTTGAAGACCAAACTTCTGTGTGTGCATATTGAGGCATATTGAATTTGTTTTCTGTTAGTATCATACTTCACATTTTACCTGTGGTTCTTTATGTGATTTTTGCATATTCCTTGTTCCTTAACTAGCTTTTTCTGGAGGGGAGGGGTTAATTTGCCTTTCGGATGCAGTGATTTCCAATATTTTGACTAGGAATTGGGCTACAGCTATGTGGAACTAAATGCAAGTGACACTCGGAGTAAGAACAGTTTGAAGGCAATCATTGCTGAATCACTAAACAACACCAGCATCAAAGGCTTTTATACAGGTATGTTCCTTTTTGAACTTTGGTTGTTGATATTGTCATATAAGAAAAACAAGTCACTTTAATGTTCTGTAATGAACGTTGAACACTATTAAGTGATAAATACGCTGGCCTATGAGAAAGATAGGAAAGGCCTCTAAGGCTATGGAATAGTAGGGCTAGAGGTTTCATAGAGTGTGGTGAAAATGGGTATAAACATAGAATTTCATTTTGTATGTGATTTTAGATGATTCACAGGTAAATCCTATAAAGTATGGACAATAAATGTGATCTAGTGTGCTGAGTAAGGTCATAAGGCCTGTGGATGAGGAGGCAGTTGTATTTGGGGCATTCTATAAGCCATCAGTAAGTGATATTTGTTCAAAAAGCCTTAAAGAACCAGAAGATCCCATTTAGAGCTAGAAGGTGGCATCACAGGAAAAAGTAGACGAAGACACAGTGTGGAATTGTCCACTGTGGTTTAGGTTTAGGTGGTTCCAGAGGGCCAGAGTTTATAGGAAAAATTAAGATGCATCAATTAAGGACCAAACTTGCCTGAGAAGCTTTTCTTAGTTACCCAAATTATTGGTCCTTTTAATGGTAAGAAAATAATTTTTCAGGTGCTAGAGAGATGACTTGAGTGGGTAAGAGCATTGACTGCTTTTGCAAAGGACCTGAGTTTGATTCCCAGCACCCACATGGCAGCTAACAACCATCCTTAATTCAAATTCCACCTCTGAGGGTGCACATACATGTAGGCAGAACACTCATATACATTAAATAAATAAATAAGAAATTAAATTTTCAAATTAAGTTGCTCAGAAAATGCCGTGTGTGTGTGTGTGTGTGTGTGTGTGTGTGTAAAATGCCGTGTGTGTGTGTGTGTGTGTATGTGTGTGTGTACGTACACAGAGGCCAGAGTACAACCTTGGGTGTTGTTTCACTGGTGTGCCATCCACGTTTTTTTTCAGAAGCACCTTTCACTGGCCTAGAACTCACCAAGTAGGCTAGATTAGCTGGCCAAGTGAGCTCCACGAACCTCTCTCTCTGCTTCCCAGAATCTCTCAATGGCCTGGAACTCACCAAGTAGATTTGGCTATGTGGCCAGTGAGCCCCAGCAATCAATCTGTCTCTGCCTCCCCAGCACTGGGATTACAAGTGCTCATCATACTTCAGCTTTTTTTTATGTGGGCTCTAGGGTTTGAACTCAGGTCCTGTGACTTCATGACTAGTGGAAGTGTTGATTAGTACAACCCTTTTTTGGAGACAGGGTCCCCCTATAGTGCCAGCTGGCCTGGAACTCGCTATGTAGACCAGGCTGGCCTCAATCTCACATAGCCTCTGCTTCCCGAGATTGGGATTAAAGGTGTGCACTGCCACCTGTGGCTCTTTTTCATTTTTATTTCTACAAGTGTTTGCTTGCCTGTATGTATGCCTAGTATGTGTGCAGTGCCCACGGAGGCCAGAAGAGGATGGTGGAGTTGCCATGTGGGTGCTGGAAATTGAACCCAGGCCCTGTGCCAGAGCAGGAAGCCCTCTTAACCCCTGAGTGATTGCTCCAGTCCCTAATCAGTACAACTCTTGAGAGCAATCTGGCATTCTTTCTTTTTAAAAAAATTTTATTTATTATTTTTATTTTATGTGTATGAGTGTATTGCCTGCATGTATGTGAATGCACCCATGTTGTGCAATGCGTGGAGGTCAGAAGAGGACTTTAGATTCCCCTGGAACTGGAGTTAAAGATGGTTTGTAGCTGCCATGTGGGTGCTGGGAATCGAACCTGGGTCCTCTTCAAGAGCAGCCAGTGCTCTTAATTGCTGAGCCACCTTTCCAGCCCCAGCTGGCATTATTTCTTAAAGATAAAATATATATACTTTCTAATCCAGAAATCCTAATTCTTGGAATTTAGATGTTATTATACCTCTGTATGTACAGAATGTCATGCACAGACATACGTATGTCCACACACATGAGGGATATTTAAATGTTAGTATGAGGCCTGGAGACCTGGCTTAACAATTAGGAGCACTTCCTGCTCTTTCAGAGGACCTGAGTTTGGTTCCCAGTACCCACATCAGGTGGCTTTGAGCCATCTGTAACTCCAGTTCAGGGGCTCCAATACCCTATTCTAGCCTCTCCAGGCACCTGCGTAATGTGCATATACCTACATATAGACATACAGACATTCACACACACAAACACACACACACAAAACGTAAAATAAAATTTGTATGACATAGCAAACACACCTTAATATTCCATCCATAACAGTGATTAAAGTATGATACATTTGTATAGTAGAATATTATACTTTTAGAAAATGGTATTGATAGGTTTAGTTAGGGAGGTCTTTCACTAAAACTTATTAAATGAAAAACTCAAGGTGCACATTTTTATGTTTTAAATATGTATTGGTTGTTTCTCAGAGGGTTCTTGAGCTGGGTATGGAGGTGCATGCCTTTAATCTCAGCACTCAGGAGGCATAGGCAGGCATATTTCTGTGACTGAGTGCAGCGTGGTCTTCATAGCTCCAGGACAGCTGGGGCTATAGGGAGACCCTGTCTCAAAAAAGGCAACGAGGTAGAGTTGGGGGCTGGGAGGATGTTCTTAAGATTGTGTGCTGATGGGAATGGAAATTGGGAATGCAGAAGAAAGGGTGGGGGCGGAATTTCTTTTCATGGCACAACTCTCACAGCTTTTGAAGTTTAAAACATGTTCTGTACCTTTCTGTGAAGTGCTGGCTTTTGAATAATATCACAGTTTTTGTCCCATCCCATCTTGGGCCAGGTGGAGCAACTTCTGTGAGCACGAAGCATGCGCTCATCATGGATGAGGTTGATGGCATGGCAGGCAATGAGGACAGGGGTGGAATTCAGGTAACATGAGCAGTGTCTTTTTGTTTTACTGTTGGTTTTTAAATTAAGAAAATACTATGTGCACAGGTGTTTGTAGCAATTAAGGTATATTATTGAAGGTGTTTTTAAAACCTAAAATAACTGTATTTGTAATAATTAGTTTTGTATTCCAAATTTGCCTTTTAGGAATTAATTGGCCTGATAAAACATACCAAAATTCCCATTATTTGTATGTGCAATGATAGAAATCACCCCAAGATTCGCTCTTTGGTTCATTATTGTTTTGATCTTCGTTTCCAAAGACCTCGGGTTGAACAGATTAAGGTATGATGATTACAATTCAATTTTTTGAAACATTTATTTATTTTTTTTATTTTATGTGCATGAGTGTATTGTCTGCATTTGTGTAAGTGCACTTGTGTTGTGCAGTGCCACAGAGGACAGAAAAGAGTGTCAGATTCCCTAGAGATGAGTTAGGACTGTTGTTAGCTGCCATGTGGGTGCTGGGAATTGAACCCAGGTCCTCTGCAAGAGCAGTAAATGCCCTTAACTGCTGAGCCAACTCTCCCGTTCTCTAAACATTTATTCGTTTTGTGTATGTGGTAGGGGGTTGGGGGTGGGAGTGTGCTCCCTCTTGCAGGTGTGCACCAGGTCTACATGTAGCCGTCAAAGAACAACCTGTAGAAGTCAGTTTTCTCTTTCCACCACATGGGTTCTGGGATCGAATTCAGTTTGTCAGGCTTGGTGGCAAGTGCCTTTACCCACTGAGCCATCTTGTTGGCTCAGAATTTTATTTTAAAATCACATTATAGTTGTATAATGGTAAGTTTTAACAGTGGCAATATTGTAGCCAGTGAAAGTTATCCAAGGTGCTATTATTGCTAATTGAAAACTTAGGGTCAGTTAAAAAAATTGATAAATATTTTAAAAACATCAGATTATGCTCTCCTCTGAGTTTGGGCCCTGCCCCATTCCTTCTCTTGGGGCCCCAGACACCTGGGGAACCAGTACTGCTTCCTGATCCTTTTCATCTAGACCAGCGTAGTGCCCTCTCTTGGCCCCAGGAGCACTGCTTCTGGGCCTGGCCCTGCCCTCACCTCCCTCTGCTTCCCTGGGCCTGAAAGACCCACCTCAGGCCTCTCCCCTATCTACAGGCCTCTCTCCGGGTAAGTCCATCGGGCCCTCCGCGCCTTGACTCCTCCAGCCCCATTCACCCTCCCATCTCCCCTGCCATTCTCTCCTCTGCGTTTGGGCCCTGCCACATTCCTTGTCTTGGGGCTCCAGACACCTGGGGAATCAATACTGCTTCCTGATCCTTTTCATCCAGACCAATGTAGTGCCTTCTCTGGACCTCAGGAGCACTGCTTCTAGGCTTGGCCCTGCCCTCACCTCCATCTGCTTCCCTTGGCCTGAAAGACCCCCCACAGGCCTCTCCCCTACCTGCAGGCCTCTCTCCGGGTAAGTCCATTGTACCCTCCACCCTTGACTCCCCAAGCCCCATTCACCCTCCCATCTCCCTTGCTGTTCACTGCCCCATTCCTTGTCTTGGGGCCCCAGACACCTGGGGAACCAATACTGCTTCCTGATCCTTTTCATCCAGACCAACATAGTGCCTTCTCTGGGCCCCAGGAGCACTGCTTCTGGGCCTGGCCTCGCCCTCACCACCCTCTGCTTCCCAAGGCCTGCACCACCCGCCAGTCTCTTTCTGGGACGTGGGAGCTGACCTTTCCTCTTCGTGATCCTTTGCATCCAGACCAACCCAGCTCCTCAGTGCAGTCCCCAGGAGTCCTTGGGTCCTCTTCCTGCCCCATCTGCTTTTGCATCTCTGGGTGGCACAGCCACCAGCTGCCCTAGACCAGCATCTTTCCTGGGCCAGGCTCCGAGGCCAGTCCAACCCACAAATTCCTGAAGCCAAAATCATTCCTGGAGGGATCCAGACCTTAGGAGAAAGCCTGAAAACATCTGAGCCTCATCTGAATTGGGCCTCTGTGGGAACTCCTGAGGACAAAAGCAGTCTGGCCACTCCAGTATAAAATCAAAAGAGAGAACTTGAAGCTTAGACGAACCAGCTTTTCATGCCCAAAAAGTAAATCACAAAGACACATAAAGTTCACAAAAAGAAGCAGACCTAGACTTGAAGGCCTGGGTCTCACACAAGAATCAGAAACTACAAAAGAAATTCACATGTCAAAAACACAGCAAAAATAATAACATGAAAAACCAAAATAACATATCCCCACCAAATACCAATAGTTCTCTAGAGGAGTACAGTGAGAACTCCCTAGAGATAATGCAGTACATAGAACTCAAAAGAACACATGATAAAAGAATTCAGTGAATTTAAAGAACACACAAAGGAAGAAATCAAAGAACTGATGGAAGATAGGTATAAACTTCTGAATGAATTCAGAAAAGAGTTAAAATTTTGAAGAATACTTAGGCTGAAATGAAAAAGAAGTGAAACACACAGTAAGCCAATTAGAAACTACAGGAGAAAGACTCACCAATACGATGAATGAAATGCAAAACAGAATATCAAGACTAGAGCATAAAGTGGATGAATTAGACCACTCAAGCAATGATTTTGAAAAATTAAAATAATGGCATGGATCAGATCTTCAACAGAATCATGGAAGAAAATTTGCCAAAATTAAAGACAGACATGCCAATACAAATACAAGAAGCATATAGAACACCAAACAGACAGGACCAGAAAAGAAACTCTCCACAGCACATCATAATAAAAACATTACACATGCAAAACAGACGATTCTGGAGGCTGCAAAAGAGAAACAAGTCACATATAAAGGAAAACCCATTAGGATTACAGCTGACATTTCAATGCAAACTATGAAAGCCAGAAGAGCCTGGACCAAAGTATTCCCAGTTGTAAATGACCACAGATGCCAACCCAGATTACTATACCCAGCCAAAATGTCTATTATAGTCAAAGGGGAAAGAAAAATCTCCAGTGACATAAATAGC